AGGAAATACTTCTTGGGTTTTGTGGCAGGTGAGGGAAGGCAGCCTGGGCCCCAGCTTCAACCTCCAACTGCAGGGAACAGAGATGCTTCTAACCACCCTGGCCTCTCTATTCACTTGCCTCACTGTCTCAAACCTCTGTGGCCTCTGGGTGACAGGGTGGGAGGGTGGAAGATGCCACTTGGCTGGAGCTTCTTGTCAGCAACCAAAGAAACACCAAGTGGAGGAATACCGATCTGAGAAAAAATCCCAAACATATCAGGAGTTGGAGGAGTCCTGGGCTTCCCCCGCACAGCTGCACCAGCCATTCGTGCAGCAGAAGCCACCAGCGCAGCCGAAAACACCAGCAGAGCCAAAGCCACCAATACAGCAGCCACGGCAGCAGCCACCACAAGCACAGCTTCTGCTGCTGCAGCCAGAGCCACTGCCACCACCGCCACCACTACCACCACCACCACCACCACAGCCACCACAACGAAGTGATCAGGACCCGGTTACTCTGTGCAATTTTCTGTCCAGTGTCCAGGATTCCCAAAGGCAAGGACCCCAGCCTGACTCACTGCGGGCTCCTGAAGCTGGAGGGCAATTGTATAACCTCTCAGGTCCTGGTAAGTGAGGCTCCTGGGAGGGGAGAGGCTGAGGAGAGAACCCCTGGATCCCATCCCAGCCCCAGATCCAGAATCCCTATCTGCCACCACAGCTTGTCCAATCCTCCTCAGCACCCTCAGCCTTTACTACCTCTGTAGCTACTGCCTCTGGGTGAATTTGTATCAAACTGGGGCTGCAAAGAAGCCTGTCATCTTCTGCAGAGGGTGTCTGACGTGGTGTCAGCCTCTCTTCCACAGTGAGGACGACAGAAGAGGGGGTGGGGATGGTGGGATGTGAGTTGTAGGCTTATCAGCAGATATATTGAGCCCTGGGAGATCGGGAACAGGGAACCACAGCATGGCTTCCTAGTTCCGAATCTTCAGGGTGGGTTCAGAATGTGTTTTGGGGCAGGGAGGGGTCTGCCCCTGACCATCAGACTTGTACTGGGCCCCAGACATGATAAAAAGTCCAGTCCTGATGTGTTCTTTTCTGAGAAACTCCGGGATGAGCTGGGTACAGTGGAGCATGCCTGTAATCCCAGATACTGAGGAGGCTGGAGCAGGAGGCTCAAAACTTTGAGGCCAACCTCAGCAACTTAGTGAGACCCTGTCTCAACCTTAAAAAAAAAAAAAAAGGCTGAGTTTGTAGATGTATAGTTTAGTAGTACTACCAGAAAAAGAAAAAAGAAACTTTCAGATGAGTAACTTATGCTTGTTTCATCACCAGGTCTCATGAACTCCTGCCTTTCTAGCCTTAACAAACACCCTGGATATTCATGTTTCAAGGTGAGACAGAGCACAAAGGAAGAGAAGCTCTGGCTGAGTGTTTGAGTGTGCCCTTGTGTGTGTGTAGTCCACAGAGGCATCCTTAGCAGGAGACAGGGAAGGGAACTGGAATTATTTCAAAGTCACTCTGAATAGCCAATTTCTCTATTCTCTATTCCTTGACCCATAAAAATATCTGGCTAAGTCCTGTCACTAACACTAAGCATAAGGGAGGAGTTGAACAACCTGTTTGGAAAGATAGGTACCAAAGAAGGTAAATAAGGGGGATTTTTTTTTTTTTTTTTAGAAATGATCTCACTAAATTGCTTAGGGCCTCACTGGGTTGCTGAGGCTTGTCTTGAATTTGTGATCCCCTTGTCTTAGCCTCCCAAGGTGTTGGAATTATAGGAGTGAGCTTAAACTTCCAAGAATCTGTTTTTTTGTTTTTCTTTGGTACCAGGGATTGAATGTAGGGGCACTTTACTGAGCCACATCCCCAGCCCTTTTTATATTTTATTCAGAGGCAAGGTCTTGCAAAATTGGTTAGGACCTTGCTGAGTTGCTAAGGCTGGCCTTGAATTTACGATCCTCCTGTCTCAGCCTCCCAAGCCACTGAGATTATAGGCATGTGCCACCACACCTGAGAAGGGGCTGTTTTAAAGCTGGCTAAAGAGATAGAGGTGACTGGAAGAGGAGGAAAGCAAGACCTAAATCAGAGGCTGAGTCTCAGGATCACCACTCCCTTGTAGCATGATGTGAGCTCTGAGCCTCATACATAAATACCACTTTCTCTAGAGTAGTCAAGAGGACTGTATGTGGTAATTAAAGGGGATAGCATCAAAAGCACTCAACTGAGTCTGGCTCAATGTAGGCCATCAAATCTAGAATGGTAACAATATTTTTTTCTTTAAATCAGTGACATAGTCACTTATAATCACTATAAGATTGGTAATTTTTTTTTTCTGGTACTGGGATTGAACTCAGGGGCACTTGACCACTGAGCCATATCCCCAGCCCTATTTTGTATTTTCATTTAGAGACAGGGTCTCACTGAGTTACTTTAGTGCCTCGAGTTTGCTGAGGCTGGCTTTGAAATCATGATCCTCCTGCCTTAGGCTCCCCAGCTGTTGGGATTACAGGCTTGTGCCACAGCGCCCAGCTAGAATGGTAACTCTTTTTTTTTTTTTTAAAGAAATATTATTATTATTATTATTATTTTTAGTTGTAGTTGGATGCAATACCTTTATTTTTATTTATGTGGTGCTGAGAATTGATCCTAGTGCCTTGTACATGCTAGGCGAGTGCTCTACCGCTGAGCCACAACCCCAGCCCTAGAATGGTAACTCTTTAAAAAAAAAAAAAATTTTTTATAGTTGTAGATGGACACAATGCCTTTATTTTATTTGTTTATTTTTATGTGGTGCTAAGAATCGAATCCAGTGCCTCACACATGCCAGGCAAGTGCTCTACCACTGAGCCACAACTCCAGCCCCAGAATGGTAACTCTTAATGAGCATAAAAAGGTGCAAGCTTTGGAATGGTCTCTGAGATAGGCACAAAGGATGAGAGAACTCGAGGAGGTTTAGGATATGGACCAGGCTGCTGCCTTTCACTTTGATTCCTCTAACCTTGAGGTGCTTAACACAGTGTCCTGAAGCCAGCATACCCAGGAATTGCTAACTTGTTTTGTTTCCTGTGTCTCCCTTTTCTCAGTCAATTAATTATATCCAGCAGTGGTAATCCAGGCACAGATTCAAGATTCCACTGTTCACCGCCAAAAACCAGATAAGCAATCATACCTTCTTATTACCCCTTAAAAGCCATCCACTCTGCAAGACTAGCTAGGAGTAAAATGTGATCTTTCTAAGAGCCAAGAGAGTGGTCAGTTTTCTGAGATTGGGATGAGGGGAATGGAGAGGATGGAAGAGAGAGGAAGGCCTCTCCTTGCCTCTTGAAACAAAGCCATGGGGAGAACTTGATCTTGGACCCAAGTCTCCATCTCCTACTGACCTTTATTACCCAGTGGTAAGTCCATTGGGGCCTCCAGTTTATGCTCATCACTGGAGCCACTGCTCCTCCTGCAAGCCCATGCCTAAGGATGGAATCAAAAAGAAGACAGGGCTATGTAATGCCATACCAGGCCCGGGGCAGCCGCAGAGGTGGCAGGCAGGGACATCTATCTAAGCCTTGTGCAGTGTCTGGCCCACAGTGGGCACTCAGCTGTTAAATGACTGATGGTGGATGGAAGAATTTGGAAGAGAGGCTTTGGTTGTCCCAGGCAGGGGACACCTGACCCTGGGAAGGAAGAGAGTGGGGATTTCCTACTGAAATTCTCAGGCCTGTCCCATTCCCAGTTTCAGCCTTTACATCTACCAGAGAAAACCAGGAGGCTCCAAAAGCCCCAGGCATTCCTCCCTCATCAGCCCCAAGTGGAAGAGAGGGCAGGGCTGGGGGACCCCCCCAGTGTCAGGCTTCAGAAAGATGCAAGTCTGACATAGTCTTATGAGACAATGTCAAGTCAGACTTCCCTGAGATAGACAAAGGGCAGGATCTGATGCTGGTCCCTGAAAGAACTTTAGAAATCAGAGGGTGGTTGTGTGTGTATGAAATTAACATCACACAAAGCTCCCTGTGCTGAGGGTGTGGGAAGGGATGAAAAGTGAGGCTCTTCCTTTGGAAGTCACTGCAATCCTTCTTGGGGACTGTGGAGTTGTGGGAGATGTAGACCAGGTTTGCAGGTGCCCAGGGTACAGGGATAGCAGTCGGGTCATGGTGGGTAAGGGATCAGCAGGTGTGGCACTGACATGTTTCCCCGGCAGTCCACATATTCATAGCTCTCAAAAGACCAGCTGCTCTGAATGGCTCAGATGAGACCAGGTCAAGGTGCCCCTGGAGAGGAAGCAGGCCTTGTTATGTCTGGGAGGAAAAGGACAGGTTTGACCCTGTTTTGCTGTCGGGGGAAGATTGGCTCCCTCAACCTCCCTCCCCCTTCCTTGTGTTCCCTGCTGTTCCAAGGCACCAGGAACAGCTGCCCCACCTGTGTTCCAGCAACTTCCATTATGAGAAAGGCTGTCACCTCAGTCACATTTTGGGGCTGAGAAACCAGAGGGGGGTGTGTGTATGTGCGTGTGTGTATGCACATGTTAGGAATTGAACCCAGCAGTTTACCACTGAGCTATATCCCTACCCCTTTTCTATTTAAATTTTGAGACAGGGTCTTGTTAAGTTGCTGAGACTGGCCTTGAAATTATGACCCTCCTGCCTCAGCCTCCCAAGTTGCTGGGATTGTAGGAGTGCACTACTACACCCAGCTCAGGTCATTTCACTGTAGCCCATTCAGCATCCACTCTGGGTCAGACTGAAGAAGCCAAGCCTGATCTTAGTGTAACCCAGGGATGTTTCCTGAGGGGAGCAGTAGCGGGGGTTGGGATGGAGGGAAAGATATAGAATAGGAAGGTGAAGCTGGGAGAGAGCTTAGAGATTACACAATTAGAGGGAGAGAATGAGCTCCTGTGAATAATCTCTCAGAAGCCAGCAAAGCAGGATATGTTCTCAGCAGCCTTGATGCTCACTGGAACATTAAGAAATAGTTTATGATAAGACTAGTGTCTGCCAGCTCCCTCCTACTCTCAGGAGACTTTAACACACACACACAGTTGAATGTAGTTTATTGAGTATAATATAAATCTTTTACATTTGATGACCTATATACAGAAGCTTCAGGCTGGACTCCTTGGACTTCTGCACTCTTGTTGGCACCAGCTTAACCCCAACTATCCAGGTGTGAGCTTAGAGCCAGCAGATTCCTTCCTCCCCCTCACAGCCCCAGCTAGTCTGCTAGTTCTTTTACCACAGTCCCCTCCATTTACCTTACTCCAAATTCAGCTTTCATCTACTGCCTAGGTTTGTCACTCCACATGTAAAGGCCTAACCTTATTTAGAGAACAGATATCATTCCTGCTTTGCTCAACTACCAAAATCACCTCCACTTGAAGCCCTATGGGAACCTGGGAATTACCTGACCAACAGGAAAGGGAGGCTCTAGCCTGGTCCTCGTGGATGGGCTCCTTGTGACAAAGCCTGGAGAGCAGGGGCTGTTCGGAGCAGAGGGTGGGATCTGGGGCAGAGGAGGAAGTGGAACAGAGCCCAGAAGTTTTGTCTAGACACTGAGAGCTTCACCCCCTGCAGGCTTTCACAAGACAGAAGCTGGGCCCAGTTTGAACTGCCTGGGTCCACTCACATAGACTCTGGCTTGTGGGCTTAGAAACTTTGATAAACACATTTGAAAATGATTCTGGCCATAACTTCTTTCTTGTGTAGACTTGGGGGTGCCAGGTGCCTCCTTCCCCTCCCCTTTTACTTTAACTCCTGCCATGAAATAAAAGTACAATTGTTCTGTCTAAAGGAAAAGCTTTTGATGCAGGCAGCTTTTTCTTCCTAGAAACCAGGGATAGTCACTAACCCACTAACGGGGGGTTAAAGGGCTTGCCACTCCGTTAGATGGGTGGAGGACAAGTTACCAGAGAGAAGAGGCTACCACCATCACTGTGTCATATGAGCAAAGCAGAGAGGCACAGGGGAACATCTGAGGGCCTTGTAGATATTATTGGATGTCCCCAAGACACTTTCTTATCACTGGGTGGAGAACCTAAAAAGGGTCAATGTTTTAAAAGCCAGATAAAACTACAGCTTTTCCCATGTTCAGACAGGTGGAGGACGTGTCGCAGTAGAGCTGTGCAATCAACATGCTCAGCACAGAAAGGGCAGGTACCAGTCAATGGACTCCAAGGAATGCCCCAGGGAAGACAGACTTTCTTCAAGACAGACCAAGGCAGAAGCTGATGCTCTAAAAGAACTTTAGAAATCAGAGGGTGTGTGTGTGTATGCAGTTAACATCACACAAAGCTCCCTGTGCTGAGGGTGTGGGAAGGGATGAAAAGTGAGGCTCTTCCTTTGGGAGTCACTGCAGTCCTTCTTGGGGCACTGTGGAGTTGTGGACCAGGTTTGCAGGTGCCCAGGGTACAGGGACAGCAGTTGGGTCACGGTGGGTGAGGGATCAGCAGGTGTGGCACTGACATGTTTCCCCGGCAGTCCACATATTCATAGCTGTCAAAGACTAGCTGCTCTGAATGGCTCAGGTGGGACCAGGTCAAGGTGCCCCTGGAGAGGAAGCAGGCTTTGTTGTCATGTCTGGGAGGAAAAGGACAGGTCTGACCCTGTTTTGCTGTCGGGGAAAGATTGGCTCCCTCAACCTCCCTCCTCCTTCCTTCTGTTCCCTGCTGTTCCAAGGCACCAGGAACAGCTGCCCCACCTGTGTTCCAGCAACTTTCAGACAACCCTGGGACTGCCACACCAATAACTTATAAGCAAGGTGAGACCCAGAGAAAGGTATGGACTTGCTATTCTCCAGAGACAAATATTCACAGGGTCAGCTGCAACAACTCTTTCTCCCCATAGGAGATAAAACTGAGGTGAGGATAAAGTCAAAAGTGGGACAGGAGACACCAGAGCTCCAAGCCCTACTTACTGGATGTGCAAAAGTACATGGTGGACTTTGATTTTCAGCCAGGTACAGATTTTGCTGAGAGAGAGAAAGAGAGCATGGGGTCACGTTTCATACTGAACAGCCTCTCAGAAAACTTGGAGACCTGCAGGTCCTGAAGGGCCCCATGGCCCTGATTGCAATATCACTCCAAGCCCCCAGTGCTTAGCCCAGGTACATGCTGGCCTTGCCCTTAGCAGAAAACAAAAGACTCCTTTTACTCAGTGATTCAGATCCCCAAGATCACATATTGAAAAAATTAACCAGGGGCTGGGGATGTGGCTCAAGTGGTAGTGAGCTTGCCTAGTGTGTGTGAGGCACTGGGTTCAGTTCTCAGCACCACATAAATGTGAAATAAAGATACTGTGTCCACCTAAAAATTAAAGAAATAAATATTTTTAAAAATTAGAAAAGATTAACCAAATTCCAGCCTGTTTTTCATTCCAATCTGGGCCCAACAGGCAGAAGCTAAGGATCCTAAGTCCTTGTATGCTTATGTCCCAGCTACAAGGGGATAGGACTTGAGAGGCTGAAGAGTAGTTTGCTAAGCAATGAGGAAACCCAGTGGGTATTATATGGGTTTCCAAGTCAGGTAAGGGACTATGGGAAAAAGAGGTCAAGAGGTACTCACTATGTGTTTTCATCCTGTATTCTGCTGGCTACTGCATAAAACACCTGTTAACCAAATGGGCACAAGGTTAGCCTCACCTTAGGCTGCTCCTTCCCAACACCACACACATCTGAATATCTGCGGGCAAGGCTGGCTGGGGTCAGGGAAGTCACCTGTTCACTGGCCAAAGGGCCAATGTGTAGGAAGAGACTGTTGGAAACTTGTCCTACCACAAGGGACAGGTGCAGAACCTCGATGGTCAGCTGGGTCACAGTGATGGGGTAGTAGTTGGTATTGGAGATATTCAAGATACTCTGGGGATAAAGACAAGGAAAGGGAGGGTAAGAGTGGCTCATCTTTGAAAGGGAGAAGCCAAATAGTTTCAGGAGTCTGGCTCTTGGGCCAGATTCACACCCAACCATGAGAGATCGTAGGTGCAGAGAATCAGTACCAAGAGCTCCTCCAATTTTTTTTTTTTTTTTTTAAATACTGGAGACTGAACCTAGAGGAGCTTAACCACTGAGCCACATCCCCAGCTCTTTTTGAGACAGTACCTCACTAAGTTGCTTAGAGCCTCACTTAGTTGCTGAGGCTGGCCTTGAACTTGTGATCCTCCTGCCTCAGCCTCCTGAGTTGCTAGGATTATAGGCATGTGCCACTGTGACTGGATATCCACTGGGCTTTTTTTTTTTTTTTTGGTACCAGGGATTGAACTCAGGGGCACTTGACCACTGAGCCACATCCACATCCCCAGCCCTATTTTGTATTTTATTTAGAGACAGGGTCTCACCGAGTTGCTTAGTGCCTCACTGTTGCTGAGTCTGGGTTTGAACTCGCAATCCTCCTGCCTCAGCCTCCTGAGCTACTGGGATTACAGGAGTAAACCACCATGCCAAGCTTCCAATGGGCTCTTTTTTTAAAACATGTATCAGGAGGATTCTGTTATAGGAAATCTGATATAAAGTTCACTGCTTAAGTCAGAAGCAGAATCGGACAAATGGAAAAAAGTTTTCAGGTACAGACACAAGGATTATTTTCAGTAATTTATTAATAGTAACGTGAACAGAATGCTGTGTTGATGGTTGGCTACTTGGGTCCCAACATTGAGTAGGAGGACCAGACAGCATGGCTTGTGGTATCACCACAATACGGAACAAGTAACTTCTTCAAACCCTACCATTGTCAGATGGTCTTTATGAACTGCACAAAATATGGAATGCTTCACGAACTAACCTGCAGGTCATTCGTGTGCAGGGGCCATGCTAATCGTTCCAATTTTAGTATATGTGCTGCCGAAGCGAGCACACCAATGGGCTCTTAATGGTGAGGGGTCACCTTTAAGAAGTTGCACTGAGCCAGATGAGAGGGCACATGTCTATAATCCCAGTGACAGATGAGGCTGAGGCAGGAGTATTACAAATTTGAGACCATCTCAATAACTTAGCAAGACCCCATCTCAAGAAATAAAAACATTAAAAAAAAAAAAAAAAAAAAGCTACATTGAGCTGGGTGAGGCAGCACATGCCTGTAGTCTCACCTACTCAGGAGGCTGGGTCCCAACATTGAGTAGGAGGACCCAACATTTGAGCCCAGGATTTGGACCATCCTTGGCAACAGTGTGAGACCCACATTTCAAAACAAATGAACAAAAACCACACTGGCTTAGGATCCGGTCCCATTTTATATGGCTTCTTTCCATTCTGTCTGTCCATCCAGAGTTTCAGGCACTGACAACTCTATTCCACACTATGATTTATTAATCTGACCTGGATTCTGATCCCTGATTGTAGAGAGTTCCAGTTCTATACAATTTGTTATCAGATAGCTCATGCTATTCCCTACTTCTCTCCTCTGGGTGCCACAAGATCCTTGGCTATCCACACCTAAGTTGGACAAAGGCTTTAGGGAAGTACAGAGGGCAGAGTCAGGGTACCAACTACACACACACCGTCATGTTGAGGTGGATGTCAGACTCATCAAAGGCCACGGTGGAGGAGTTGAGGCCTGCAGGCTGCACACCAATGGACCGGGGAAACAGGAAAAAGATGATAGAGGAGGAAGTCATCAGGCAGATGAACACTGCCAGGAACACAGAGAGCTTCCTGTGGGAAAGCAGCACACAGGATGGAGGCGTGTGAACACCAAGGAAACCTGGGGTTCTCACACTCCTCTCCAGATACAAGGCTCCCCACACATATCACCTCCATGACTGCTCATTTAGCTCTCCAGATGTGGTTCAGCATGGGTAGTAAGGAGCACAGCACTAAGAGGAAGGCAGCTTGGCTTCCATTCCCACCTTCCTGTCCCCGTTGACCTCATAACGTCGAGCAGCCCACCTACCCTCCCAAATTCCCACTTTCTTTGTAAAATGGAGATAACTGTACCTACGTAATAGAATTTGCTATGATATAATACATGGAAAAATACTAATCACAGGTCCTGGCATGTAAAAAAGCTCAATGAATGCTAGTAATTATCACTAGAAGAACTAAGTCCACATTAATTTTTTGAGAGTTCTGATTTGTATATTTAGTTAAACAATATTCAGAACAGGAAACCATCTATCTAATTCAAAACAGATATAATTAGAGACAGTTGGGCTGGCCACTGGGTTCCATCTTCAGCACACATAAAAATGAAACAAAGGTAAAGGTATACAACTACAAAATTAAAAATAAAAAATAGAGACAGTACTTTGTATCTTATTAGGGGCATTGCTAGTTTCTAATTCTGATGTAGTGGTGGGAAGGCTGTATGGAGGGTCTCCAGCTCAAGCTGAGGATTTTGGGAGGAGGTTGCAGGGATTCATAACAAATGGACCCTGATCTCACAAACAGGGTCACAGACATGCCAAAAAAAAAAAAAAAAATCCAGGGCTACTTCTGAGGTTTTGAATTGTGCCAGGATAGGCAGCAGCTGGTTTTCTATCTCTAATTTGAAGAAAAAAAGCAGTCTAAAGACTGCCAGGGCAAGAGAAGCTCTTAAAAAAAACAACTTCCCAAATCAATTTGCAAACCAATTGCAGCCAGGTCCACCCCCTCCCTCCCAGGAGGATTTGCAGGTCCTTTCTGTTTTGGAGAAAGGACCATGCCTCTTGAAGCAGTGATACTCCAGGAAAGGTAGGAAGTGGCCTCAGACAATATCTGCTATGCTCATTTTTTTGTGCGTGGGTAAGTGGGGGAGAGTTTTATTCCTATTTTTGATGCATTGGGGATTGAACTCAAGGGCCTCACACCTGTTAGACAAGTGTTCTACCACTGAATCATATTTCGTGTATGTTTTATTTATTCTTTAGGTTTTGGGGATTGAACCCGGGGCACTGTACCACAGAGTTATATCCCTAGACTTTTTTTTTTTGGGGGGGGGGGGGTTACCAGGTATTGAACTCAGGGACACTCAACCACTGAGGCATCCCTAGCCCTATTTTGTATTTTATTTAGAGACAGGGTCTCACTGAGTTGCTTAGCGCCTTGCTCAAGCTTAGCGCATTGCTGAGGCTGGCTTTGAACTCTAGATCCTCCTGCTTCAGCCTCCCAAGCTGCTGGGATTATAGGTGTGCACCACCGTGCCCAGCTCAGACCTTTTTGAGACAAAGTTTTGCTAAGTTTCTGGCTTTGAATTTGTAATCCTCCTTGCCCCAGCTTCCAAAATCACTGGGATTACAGGCATGCTCTACTGTGCTCAGTTTGGTTTTATTTTTATTTTTGGTGTAGTTGGACAGAATACCCCCAATTTTATTTATTTTTATATGGTGCTGAGGATTGAACCCAGGTCCTTGCACATGCTAGGCAAGCGCTCCACTGCTGAACCACAACCCTAGCCTCTGTTTTTATTTTTAAAAAATGGTTTTGCATGGGCTGGGGATATAGCTCAGTTGGTAGAGTGCTTGTCTTGCATGCACAAGACCTTGGGTTCAATCCCCCCAGAACCCCCTAATTTTTTTTTTTTTTTTTTGCAGTGCTGAGGATCAAACCTAGGGCCTCCTACATGGTAGGCAAGTGTCTTACTATTGAGACACAGCCCTAGTCTGTGAATTTTCTGATTGACAAATAATTGTACATATTTATGGGTACAATGTAATGCTTCAATATAAGATATATTGCATATAACAGGGTAATTAGCATATATACAACAATTATCATTCTTTAAATTTTGGGGGGGATGGTGCTGGGAATTGAATTTATGGCTTCACAAATGCTAAGCAATGTTCTACCACTGAATAATCCCAGACCTGACACTTACCATTTTATATATACAGGTTTAATTGTTGATGGACCTTTATTTTATTTATTTGTATGTATGCAGTGCTGAGAATCAAACCCAGTGCCTCACACATGCTAGGTAAACACTCTACCCCTGAACTACAACACCAACCCCAACACTTATCATTCTTCTTTTTTAATACCTTTGTTTTGTTTATTTTTATGTGGTGCTGAGGATCGAACCCAGCGTGCTAGGCCAGAGAGCATTCTAGAGCATTCTACCGCTGAGCCACAACCTCAGTCCCCCAACCCCCTATCATTCTTAAACCAGGAAAATCTTTGGAAACAAGGAGGCAGGTGAAGCTCAGACTACCTGGGGAAGAACCAATGGGAAAAATTTAGGAGGGATCACAATGGTGACTCTAATGGGTAAAGCAGCCCCCTGGGGTGATGACCTGTGGAGATGGAGCAAAAAGAGTGCTTACGTGTGTCTGGGCTTCAGCCTCTGGTCCCCATAGGGGATGAGGGCCACCAGCTGCTCCTCCAGCTCTGTAGAAAGATGATGAGAGGGAGGACCAAGATGTGTCATGACAAATGTTTCCTGGACCAGCCTCCTAAAAGCATCCTTCCTCCACTCTATACAGCAGTATCAGAGGCATGCAGCCTCAGAGCAGGACTGGGAGCCTTGGGTTGTGCTACTGAAGTAGCTAGCTCAGCTTTGAACCAGAAGGTAAGTAAGATTTCTAATAGGTAAGACGACTCTCTGAAAGTCACTAGTGAATCAGAAAGGCTTACCTTCTTTGGAGAGGTCATTTGTTAACTTCCTGAATCCTAAGACACAGAGTGATGCTTGGGGAGCAGAGTGGCAGAAAAATACATCTAATATAGGAAGGGGGGGGTTCTCTGCAGGGAGTCCAAGGCTAAATGGGTTAATACTGACTGAGCTGAGAGCACTATTCAACCATTCAAGGAGACTCAAAAGGGCTGCCTCAAACTGGCTAGCCAAGAGCACTTCCTGGATTCCAGGCTATTTCCAGAGCTTTGGTCAACTTACCTCGGGGGATTTCCCCACTGCCTTGGCAGGTAGGGCAGGGCACAAATTTGGCACTAGCAGGCACACAGGAACAAAAAGATTTGCTGCTTCCAAAGCTGGAGTAGCTGGGAGCTGTATCACCAATGGCCGAGTTGGGGGGCAGTATTGACTTGATTTCATCTTTCTGACAGCCCAGCTGGGAGAACATATCACCCATTTTTCAAGGGGGGCGGTTCACTAGTGAAAAAAGAACAAAGTTCAATATTAAACTTCTTTAAAAAAATTTTTTTTTTTTAAGTTTTAGCTGGACACAATATCTTTATTTTTTAGAGAGAGAGAGAGAGACAGAGACACTCTTTTTTTGTAGATGGATACAACACAATGCCTTTATTTTTTTTTAATGTGGTGCTGAGAATCGAGCGCTCAACTGCTGAGCCACAATCCCAGCCCAATATCTTTATTTTTATGTGGTGGTGAGGATGGAACCCAGTGCCTCATGCATACTAGGCAAGCACTCTACCACTGAGCATCCCCAGCCCCATAATTCTGGTTTTAAGTTATCAAGATTAGCAAAGAGCCAAGCATTGGGGTGCACACCTGTAATCCCATCAACTGGAGAGGGTGAAGCAGGAGGATAGCAAGTTCAAGGCCAGCATCAGCAATTTAGTGAGAAGCTGTCTTAAAACAAAAGGGCTGGAGATGTGGTTTAGGGTTAAGCTCCCCTAGGTTCAATCTCCAGTACCACCTCCCCCAACCAAACAACAAAAAAATTGGCATGAGCCCTACCATAATCTAAGCAAGCTAAAACCTAAGGAAGATAGACTTGAAGAGTTATATGGGGCTCTCAGATTGGAACTTTAAATGCCTTTCAATTCCTTTAATTATTGTTAAATCAATCTGCCTACAAAAAAAGAAAACCAAAGAAAAGCAGAAGTTATTTCACTTTAAGGAACTTCCACAAGAGAATGGTACAGTTCTTTTTTTCTTCGAAAGTTGCTGAGCTGTCATTTTAAAGGAAGGCAACTGGATAAAGCTCAGGGCAGGGAGGGCAGCAATCTGGAAGGTCCCTTCATCTTCCCCAATTACTCTAAAAAATGCCTCTAAGAGCACCCTGACAGAAAGGCTGAGGTTTGAGGAAGGCTGCCTCCTGGGCGTTCCTGGCTTAATAGGAAGGCAACTGCTCTTTAAACAAAGGAGAAAGGAAGCTACAGGTCACAGGTGTAGGTAAGAACCTGTCTAAAAATATCCCAGGTGCGAGCAAAAGTGTCTTCCTCACTACTTTTGAGATGGGGTAGGAAGAAAGCCTGGGGAATCCCTTAGTCATGTCAGGGTCTGCCCTTTATTAGGAGAGAGCAAGACTAAATCTGGACACCCCCCCCCCAAAAAAAAAAAGACCCCCAAGAGTGGTACCAGAATGAGGTGGGTAAGTTGAGCCACTCTGATCTTTCTGGACTAAAATAAGCCTCACCTGGTTTAGGTATGGGATCCGGGATTCCTTTTCAGTTGCAAGAAGGTGAATCTTCTGGAATGTGCCTTTGGGGAGAAGAGCCTCCAGCGCAGGCAACTAGCCCTTCAGCGGAGTCGTGGGGGAACTTCGGAAGTTGGGGGGAGAAGGGGTCCTTGCCTCCAAGGCCAAGCTGTTTCCCAACCGGATCGGGGCTCTGCCAAGGGCCGGCTGGTGGGCGTGGACGGAAAAGGTCGGATTTTATTGAAGGAGGGCTTCACATTCTACTAAACAGCTTTAGTCGAGTTTAGTACCGGCGTGTACGTAGGGCGAGCAGGAGATACAAAAGGCCCTTGCCTCCAAAAGAGGAAAGCAGAGGAGGGTCCCGAGAATGCCTTACCCAGGGACGACGGCAGCGACAGAAACGGCAGCTTTCGGAATTGAAAGTGAGGGAACTGAGCCCTCGCCCCAAGCTTCGACTTGAAGCAGCGGGAAGCTCCGCCCCTCCCCCGGCCCCTCCCTGCTCCAGGACCCCGCCCTCTCCACGAAAAGAAGGGAAGCTCTCCGATGTTCAAAGGTCACGGGAGGGTACCGGCGCTGCTTCCGTAAGGACCAGCAGATACATATAGGAGTTTAAATGAACATTTATTTCACCATTCTTTAAGTGGCTGTGCACAAGAACAACCGGCCGGACTATCCGACCCACGGGCCCTTCTGGACCCCTATTGCAGGACCCAGAATGTCCAGGCAGGTCCTGCCCCAATCAATCCAATTACAGACACCCGCAGCTCGATCGCTCTAGAAGCCAAGATCAAAACATTTTAAATAATGAACAGCCTGGTTGGCTTGAAGTCTGAATTCTGGCTTGTTTAGTAGCATTCAAGAGTTATACTGCAAATAAACATCATTATGACTAATTAAAATTGCCATTCATTATAAATGCCAACCAGATTAAATAATACTACTTTATTATCCTTACCCTAGGGTTGGGGATTCAGATTTTTCCTTTTCAGGAAGTAATTTTCATGAATATAATTTAGCGTTTTTTGTTACCTCTTCCTTCACCAACTGTCCCCAAGATTCCCTTCTACAAACAAATGAGTACCTGGGTCCCTGGGAGCAATCTCTTTCTCACTTAACCTGGAGTTAAATCAGTGAGTCTGCCCCATCCAGGTTTTGAAAAACACCAACCACAACTTCCTGTTCTAGATTCTCTAGGGCTAGATAACCTTTGAAAGGATTTCAAATATTCAAGAAGTCAGTAGCATATCCTATTTGACCCCCACCACATTCACTCCTCCAATCCTGAACTTAGATTAATATAGGAACTTGCCTTTCACCTGTTTCCACTTCCCTTACTCTACTGTAAAATAAGATCTGCCCTGACATGAAGAAAAAAGGTAACTGTTAAAGTGACTTTTCCCTTTAAGTAATAGAGGGGGTATTTTCCTTCCCTATAAGACTAGCAAAATAAAAGAAAATATATGCAAAATTACTACAATAGACACTGCTCACTAGGTGCTGGTGAGTTAACTAGCACACTCTTCCCTCCTTTCATGAGATTCCTGCAAGGTGGATATTCAAAATGCACCAATGTGGTCCTCAGAAAGCAACAGTGTCATTTACTAATAACTCTTGCAGGGAAATAATTTTTTCTTTGAAAAAGGAAGAGCAGCAATACTTCTATCATGTTCTTGTATCCTCTTTCAATGCCACATTGAAAGTTACTGAGGCTAGGAGTTGGTTACAGAAATCATAGGTCTTGAAAACAACTTCCAGTTCAAAAAACTAACAACAGATATCCCCATTAAAAACATCCACATGAACTGAACAAAAATATTTAACTTCAATACAAGCAGGGAACAAAAAAAAAAAAAAAGGTTCTACAGGAAGTTCAAATTACACTCTTCAATGCACTGAAATGGAGAAGGGAATTTTATCCAAATCAATTGAAAAACAGCTTCCTCCTATTCATCCAATTCCTAAAGTGAAAATTTAAGTTCTGGTCTTTGATTTGTTCCAAAATATATTGTAATGGGTATTGTCTTGACAATTCAATGATGATCTCCATATAGACTCATCAGTTTAAAAAACAAGCAAGGGCTTCTACCCCACACCCCAATGAAAGAATAAAGATCATCTCTGAGCAGCAGGCAGTTATTTAATACAAGGTCACTCCTCAATATCGGTGGCTGTACCAGTCATTGTTGTTGACCTGAAGGAGTTCTGTCACAACCTGCAGGATGTTGTAATTGTGTTTCTTCAACAGCCTTAGGTTCAGCTGCCTGTCACAGAATCCCATTTCAAAGAGATGGGCCATCAGAGCTGCTGTCTGATCTTCAGAAACTATTGGCTGTGCAGACAAAAAAAAGTAGACAACATTTTCTGTATAATTTGTTTATCCTGCAAATTTTTATTATCTTGCCATACTAGTCTTTCCAGATTTATTCAAAATGCAAAGAAACTAGATGCAAGGGTACGATATTCCTGTCTACCTGACATTAATGGGTCTTCTGAGCTGAGGAAATATGCTTCAAATTAGGTCTGTCAGTACCCAAAGAAAAAGCTGGGAGATGATGAACTATCCTTAGAACTAGGAGAAGAGGTATGGGGCGGGGGGCGGCGGCGGGGGGGGGGGTGCCCTGGGGTTGTGGCTCAGTGGTAGAGCATTTGCCTACCATATGTGAGGCACTGGGTTCGATTCTCAGCACCACATATAGTAAAATAAAGATCCATCAAAAAATAAATAAAGGCTACATTTTAAAAAGAGAACTAGGAGATGGCTTCAGAGAGGACTTTCAGAAAGAATCATTCTTTGACCAGATGAGGTAAAAGTAGAAAACAAGGCTTAAGGGCACTATGAACATGAAGATCATTGTGACGATGGGGCAAATATAAGCAAGGAAAGAGACTGTTACAGGAAGATGGCATGAGAAATTCTATCTGATATACAGAGGAGGTAGACAAAAACTGCTTGGGAAATGATATCCTATAGTATTTTTTACTTTTTCCTTCAAAATAAACTGGTCCAAGTTATGAGGAAGCTAACATTCACTACTCCCCTCTTTAAGCTAAGCCCTTCTGTGGTCAAAATTACTTCCTTAAATGGTTGGTCTATTATTATCTCTACTTCACAGATTGGGGAGGGGGAAACTGTAGAGCAGAAAGATGACTGACTTTGCAGACAGACAAGCTTAGGCCCCAACCCTCACTCTACCATTAACTCACCAATTGGGGTGAGTGTCAATCCTAAATTTATGAAATGCAGATACATCATACCTCTATGTTGCAGGCTTGTTGAGAAAGTATGTAAACATGTTGAGCAGTCTCTGGCAATTTTCTCTATACCTAATTCCAATGTTCCCTTCTTCCTCTTATTTCGGAATAGATTATCAATCCTTCTTTCCAGGTTTAATCCTTCCACATGGACGTTGCTTTGTATCTCTTTACCTCTTACCACCTCGGAAATCTTTCTCCATTAATTGTTCTATCATCTTTATTGTTAACCCCTTTCATTACTGGCTTGCACACTTCAAGTCTCACTCATCTTTACAAATGTCTCCTTCTGATATTTGCCCCCTTTTTTCTTCCCAGCACTGAGGCTTGAACCCAGGGGTGCTTTATCACAAAGCTACATACACAGTGCTTTTTAAAATTTTGAGACAGGGTATTGTTAAGTTGCTGAAGCTGGTCTTGAATTTATGATCCTCCTGCCTTAGCCTCCCATAGCTGGAATTATAGGAATACCAACCATGCCCAAGACTTCTGCTCTC